TACACTGCTGAGGGGAGCAGTGGGAGGGTCAGGAGAGGTTTGCTGTGCCATGTGGATCACCTCCTAGGCAGGAATGAACTCACAATGAAGCCACAGCCGCTGGCTTGCAGAGAGAGACGAGTCCTAACCCACAGTGCCACCAGGGAGGGTCCAATTCAGGTTAAAAGGCTTTAAGGTTAAAATCAAGGTGTTGGCCTTCTGGGTTCTTTTGGAGACTCTGGGGAACCAAACACCTCCTAATTCATTCATATTATAGGGAAAATCTTGTGATTTTAAGGTTGTGATTATAATTTCTTGTGATTATAAGGTTGAGGTTACTGTTACTTTACTGGCTATCAACTGACAGAAGCCTCTCTCTATATCTTGCAGAACCAGCAAATCCTTCTCATGTTCAGAATATTTCTGAATTTCTCTTCATAACTCTTTTATACCTATCCTGGAGAAAGATTTATTTATTCTTTTTGCATTTCAGGAGTCTCTAGATAATCTTGAGATGTTATCCTTATTTGAGGTTCATAACCTTAATTATAGGTGCAAAGTCCTGTTTGTCCTGCAGATGGCTCAAGGGCTAAGGGTGTGGACATTTTTGGGGGACAATTCTATCTACCACACTGTCATTCATCTTTACATTTTTCTGTGTTAGGGCTTCGTGGATTTGTCTATGAAGTGAAGAATGTGAACACCGATAGTCCTGAAGGGAATATACAAATGCCACGGGGCCTGGTAGAGACTACAAATGAGTGGGGTGGCCTGTGAAGAACATAGGCAGTTGTGCTGGTTATGAGAAGCTACAGCAGAGGTTTACAGACTGTGGCCCATGGGCCAAATTCCACTTGCTGCCTGGTTTTGTAACTAAAATTTATGTATTGACTATGACTCCTTTTGTGCTGCAATGGCACAGTTGAGTCATTACAAGAGCTAAATATGACCGGCAGAGCTACAAATATTTACTATTTGGTCTTCTACAGAAAACATTTGCTAATCTATGAATTAGGGGCAGTGTTTCTCCTTCAGGATTACCTAGGAACCCAGACAATGTTTGCTATGGGGAAATATCTTCTCAGTGTTGTCAAATCAAGTTTTACTCAATAGAAATTTGTACTCAAGATTTTTATATAAAATTTTCTGGCATCTAAGTGTCAACTAATTTTAAAAAGATTTCAAACACCAGGAAGACTACTAAAAAAATATCTGAACTCTTACAACTCAACAAAATGAAAACAAAGGACCCAAACAAAAATGGGCAGAAGAGGTAAAAATATGCTTCTACAAAGAAGACACATAGTGGCCAAGAGGTACAGGAAAAACTGCTTCTTATCAGTTATCTTCAGGGAAATGCAAGTCAGAGCCACAGTGAGATAACACCTCACTCTCATCAAAAACAGACAGAACAAAGTGTTGGTAATGGTGTGAAGGAAAAGGAACGCTTATACATTGTTGGCAGGAGTGTAGACTGGCCAGCTCCTATGTGTAACAGTTCGGAATTCCACAAAACATAAAAAATATATCTCCATAAGATCAAGCAATTCTATCCTAGGTATCTATCTGAAGAATGCAAAAACACTAACCTAAAGAGATAGATGGACTCCTATGTACACTGAAGCACTATTTACAAAAGCCAAGGTATAGAAACAATCAAAGTGTCCAAGGACACAGGGATGAATCAGAAAAATGTGGTGTATGTAGACAATGGAATTCTACTTAGCTACAAAAAAAGATGAATGCTTGCCATTTGCAGCAACCTGGATGGGACTGTAAGGGATTATGCTAAGTGAAATAAGGCAAAAGGAAAAAGACAAATAATATGGAGAAACAAAACAAAGGAACTGACAAAACAAAAACAAACAAAAAACCCCTAGAAATGCAACCACAGAATTGAGACTGCTATTGGGGATGGGAACAAAGGAGGCAGGGGCCCCCGATGGTCTCTGGTGAAGGACTCTGGGTGCTTTGGTGGTGGTGTGTGTGTGTGTGTGTGTGTGTGTGTGAATATGTGTGTGTATAAAAGTACACACAGTGATTTAAATTAATGTTATATCAGTAATAATGAACAAAAATAATTAAATTATTATAAAAATTTAAAGGAGAAAATATCTACTGGTTACATTGGCTCTTGAAGTTTGCAGCCTTTGCTTTACATAGTAATTTAAAAATATGAAGTTTACCAGGAATTAGTTTTAAGTTAAAAAATCTGACTGAATAAGTTAGTCATGAACTCTCTTTGTACCAGTCAACTATACTAGGAGCAGATGTATTATTATTGATTCAACTTGGTTAATTTAAACACTCTCTCTTTGACCCAGAGCTAGATTAAGTTTTATTTTAATAAGCCTTTATCACCAAAACAGTTATAACTCCCACTCCCAAAACACCAAACATAATTTATAAATAAATGTATGGCTCATCTCCAAATGGGCCTCTCTATTTGGGGCAGAGGGGTATATCTCAGCACTATGAGAGATCCACAGCCACTGCAGCATGAGTTCGATCCCCAGCCAGGGAGCTCATCCATGTGGCACAGCAGCCCTCTTGTATCTCGCCTGCTGCTCCCCTCACCAAGTTACCCCTCCTCCACACTTGTTACTAGGTTTTTGCTTTTTCCCCTATTTTGTAGTGGTTGTTCACTTACCTGGGCTTTCTGCACAACTGGGCTGACATGACACAGCCGGAGGAGAGCTTCTCCTTTGCACTAGTAGGGTGCCTTGCAGCATAGCCTTGCAGATGAAGGAGCCAGATCCTGGGAAAGGAGTCTGCAGATCTTCCCAGGCTTGCTGTAAACAGAATGGATTACAAAGCATGTGAATGCACTTTTTCTTTTTTGAATGGATAGCTGAAAACCCAACTGCCTATTCAATCTGACTTTGATAAGTGGACATGACTTGTTCTCTCTCACTGAAATATGTCCTCACTGTCACGGAACATGAACAACAATTCTCTAAGGTCTTCTATTTGCTGTAGAAGGTTGGTTGGTTTTCTTCTTCTTCTTTTTTTTTTTTTAATATTTTCTTATTTTTCCCCTAAATACTCACAGCAGTAAAACTTCCTCCATAAAAGCACATTGATCTAATTTATTAGTCTTCTGAGGGGTGAAAAAGAAGAACACTTCCCAGGAACCACAATGTAAGAAAAACAAATGAGCCCCTGAACTGACAATTATCTACCTGCTATTCATCATGCACATTCAGAAGGGCTGACCAGAAAGTTTGATTGTAACTCATAAGTAGGACTCACTTGAAGAAAAGGAATTCAGATAATGATGTGACAAGATTAATTGATTTCTGCAGATGAAATTAGATAGGGTTTTCATATTTGGTGAAATAATTGAACTTCTAGTTTATATATATATTTTTAAAGCTTTATTTATTCATATAGAACTAGTGCTGTGCTTTAACCCGCTGCGCCACCAGAGAGGGCCCTAAATAATTGAACTTCTAAATGAAGAAATGGATCCTGAAGATACTTATCAAAATAGGTGATGCCATTTTGTACAAGTTATTTGAACAAGTTCAAATCATACAGGATATACTAACCAATCAATATATTGATAAATTAATATGTCAATTAATAACCAATTTTTTAAAGGAATAGTTACTGAGTACCTATAACATACCTGTACTTCTTCACATACCAGGGATACAGCAGCAAGTAAAGCTAAGTCCTGGAGTGAACAGGCAGGTGGGGGATCATTGACAGTAAACATTAAGTTAGGCAGTAAGAAGTACGCTGATGAGTACAGGATGATATGTTGTCATGCAGAATTATGTCCCCAAACATCTCTCAGATTTATATGTTAAAGTTCTAATCCCTAGTACCTCACAATGTGACTATATTTGGAGAATGGGTTTTTAAAGAGCTAGTTAATGATAAGTGAGGTCTGTAGAGTAATCCCTAATCCATCTGACCAGTGTATTTATAGAAATAGGAAATTAGGACACATGGGGACATACACACCCACACCCACAGAAGACCGCTGGAAGTATATGACCATCTACATACCCAGGAGAGAGGTCCTCAGATGATACCACCCCTGTTGACACTTCTATTCTCCAGAACAATAGCAAAATAGATTCTTGTGTGAGCCACCTGGTTTATGGTTTTTAAGGCGGCAGTGCCAGTAAATGAATACAAAATCTCACTCTCTAGGTATAGTGTAACATACTAATCTTAAAGTGAATCAGGGATTGAATCTGTTGTAATCACATTGTAATCAAATGTCGTAGAATTAATATTTCAGATGATTATTTTTTTTTCCCTTAGTGCTTTCCACCAGGATAAATTATCCCATCTTTGCATTTGATTGCATATTTATTGTCTATAGTTAAATACTATATGAGTATGTATTTGCCTAATTAATAATAATAACAACAATAATAAATTAATTAAAAAGAATCTTTTCCTAGGAATATGTCCAATATAAGTATGGAATAACTAAAATATCTATCTTGAGTGGGTGAATATTTTCTTGTTTTAAGATAATACATATTAAGGGACTTCTAGAAGATACACATAAAGCAAAGGACTAATATATTACTGATAGTCATATTACTGGTGAACCAATAAAATGAACTTATTCTTCTCATAGAAGATGTCTTCTGATGGTTTTATATAGTTAAACTATATAAAGCTTACATAACTGTTTATTATGTTTAGGACACTGATTATAAGAAAATTTTGATATTTCAAAATTTCTATTAACTTAATGTTCCATAAGGAACATTATTCAACTTGGACAGAGTACCAAATATTTCAGAATAGGCTGGGAACACAACTGCTAATTTAGCATGAAACATTGTAATTGCTACAGCTTAATTGTTTGTGTTAAATGGAAGGTAGTTATAAAGCCTCAGGAGTTTTAGAGTAGCCAAATGTATCAGTGACAGGACATTATCTTTAATATATTTGCATAGGTAGAACCAGTAATTTGTTTTGCTCATGCTTCATGTACTTAAAATCTACTTAATCTATGTTTTTAAACTGTCAATCTTTATGCTTATTTTTAGAGCCTAATTATATCTTGAAAAAGGATACTCAGGTATCACATTAAAATTATACCTGCTCCATGTCAGTTATGTGACAGATTGATGGGTATTCATTCAGATGCAGGCATGATCATGGTGCCATTTACTAGGGTTAGGATAATCATGCTCACCACCTCTGTTTAAGAAGCACTTACATGGTGCTGACTTTCTGCAGGAACTGCTGAATAACTTGAATTGCCATAACAAGCCTATTTAATCAGTGAGAAAGCCAAGGCACAGAGAGGATAAGAAAGTTGTCAAGACAAAGACAGGATTTGGAGGGAGGCATATAGGCTTCAGTGTTTGTGCTGAATGGCTGCATGGCTTGGTTTTATTCTTCCAATGGGGGATAACATTTAGGATGTATACTGGATGCCTGGCTTATATGCTTTAGATGCATTCAATTATTTAACAGTTATGAGACACCTACAGGGAGTTAAGAGGATAGCTTCTAGTGTAATTTTTGGCAATAAATTGAGAGTATGATTTGGGGTACCTAGTTAACACTATTTTGGGACTCTAGCTAATGAGGTATTTGGATTACATGATTTATCTCCAAAGTCACTTCTAACTTGAAAGTTTTATAATATGCAGACTATCTTAAAAGTTTTGAAAATAGGGCCTCCCTGGTGGCACAGTTGTTAAAGTCAGCACTATCGAGCTATCTCCAGCCACAGTGACAAGAGTTTGATCTCTGGTCAGGGAACTGATTCGCATGGCAGCAGACCTCTCCTGTCTCACTTGCTGCTCTCCTCAGCAGTGTATTTCAGTAAATCCCTCTGTTTTGCTCCCTGTTCAGTCTCTGGTGAATCCTCTCAGTCTCCCCCTTACCCCTCCCCCCCACCCCAACCCCACACCTCTGGTCAACACCCCAGCTCTTGTATGTATAAATAAATAAAATAAATCTTTTTTAAAAAGCCTTGAAAATAAAGCAATATTTAAGGTTTTTAATTTAAAAATTGAGCGTGCAGCCTAGCTATTTTATCTCCTACTCATTCTAGAAAAAAATCCTTTGCTGATCTATAGAAAGTTTAAATTTGACTGAGAGATGAAAATTTCTTAGATTCATGTGCTACTATAACTCTATAAAGCCCTTTCTGTAACAAAGCAAAAGCAAAAACCAAAACAAACCCCAAGTCCTCAGAAAATAAACAAACTCAGACAATTGCACCTTCAATCAAAATGGAGCTGTAAAGTATTAGCTCAAGAAGCTAAAATTCTTAACGATAGTCATTTGCATACAGACATCCATGTTGTCAACACTGTCCAGTTATGCAAATATATTCTACTTTCCATAATAAATAAGCAAAGTCATTTTCATTAAGTATTTTCATATGGAATTGCTGTATATTTACAGAAAATTTTGACTTTTTCACGTAGTTCAATGTGATATATGATCTGTAGGCCATTTAGAGACCATATTCTTGGCAACATGCTGAAGGAAGGGAAATAATATCAAGTAACATCAATTTAATGAGGTTTTTGTTAATCACAATGACTAAATCATGACTCTCTAATCTTCCTTTTTCTTCTCAGTTCATCATGATAGTGACTTAGAATCATTCTTTATAGGTGCCACAAGGGACAGTACTCAACTTTCTTTCTTTTTTTAGGATTCATCAGAGACAGAATGGGAAGCAGAATAGGCAGATAAGACTGAAATACACTGCTGAGGGGAACAGGTGGGTCAGGAAGGTCTGCCATGCCATGTGGGTCAGCTCCTTGGCCAGGAATCAAACTCGTGTTGCCATGGCTTCGGAGAGCTTCATAGTGCAGTGCTTTAACTCGTTGTGCCACCAGGGAGAGCCCTAAATCTCTTTTGTTTTAAATATTTATTTTTATTTATTTATGCATACAAGAAACTGGGGAATAAGCCAATGGGTGGGAGGAATGCGAAAGGATTCACCAGAGACAGAGTGGGGAGCAGAAGAGGCAGATCTACTGAAATACACTGCTGAGGGGAGCAGTGAGCAGGTCAGGAGAGGTCTGCTATACCATGTGGGTCACCTCCCTGGTTTGAGATGGAACTCAGGCCATAGCGGCTGCAGATAGCTGGATAGCATCATGATTTTAACCCCCGTGCCATCAGGGAGGCCCCAACACCACTCAAATTTCAGTTCCACATCAGTTTTCTAGAATGAAGCACATTAAACAAGAGATGGCTAACAATCACCTTCAGTTTGTGGGATTTGAAGCTACCGACTTTCATAGTATGTCCAGATTTAAGAGTGTCCCTGCATATTTCTTCCAAGTGAGATTTAACATGAAAGGAATGGTTGAATGTAATTTCTTGATCATTACCAAGCAAAAGATCCTTATTACTCTTTTTTATTTTCTTGTCATCTATGTAACAGTTCAGTTAAAAACCAATAATTTACTTTATTCCTTCCCTTGTCCTTCCCCAAATACATTACTGCTCCTTAAGGAGCTGAATATATACTCTCAGTTACCAAGCTACCCAACAGAATCACAAAACTAATTAGGAATGGTAATTTTTGTCCTTCCTTCAATAATTTCCCTCCACAGAAATATCTTCTTTTCTTACTGCAATTATGAAGATTATATTTTGTTTGACATGAGAAAATTGCAACAGAAGACCCAAGAGCAAATATGAAAGGAATGAAGTGATTAAATAGAAAGAACTTGCTAGATAAAAAGCATATCCTTTTAGCTTCTAATTTTGATAAGAAAATACCCTATTGTTGTTGGATGACTTAATGAATATTTGAAAACAGTAATATTAATAAATAGTGTATTTTTGGATATGTTTTGAGATTTTCTGAAATTTTTTTTAGTTTATGTCATGTATTTATCTTATGACTGATTTATTGTATGATCGAAGCATCATTTTTTTAAGGAAAGGCAGTGTCAGCACTAATTGTGAAAGCAGAGCTAAGCATTCTCTAAGTTTTTATTTAAATTATTAAAATAATGGTTAACTTGTTTTTTTTAAAGATTTGTTTATTTATGCATACAGAACTGGGGTACAAGCCAGAGGTGCAGGGATGGTGAAAGGCTTCACCAGAGACAGAGTGAGGAGCAGAACAGGCAGATTGATGAAGCACACTGCTGAGGGGAGCAGCAGGCAGGTCAGGAGAGGTCTGCCACACCATATGGATCACCTCTAGGGCCAAGGATCAAACGTGCACTGAAGCGGCTGTGGCTGGCTTGCAGTGCTGTGTCCTAACGCATTGTGCCACCAGGGAGGGCCCTCTCTAACTAAGTTTATTTAAAAAAAAAAACTTTATGCTATTATATCTTTTACTTAGATATATCTTCTTTTATCACTTTGACATTGAATTATAATTTTAACATTTGTTTTAAGTTAGGAAAAACTGGGCTTCTTCAAACACTGGCTGCTTTTTAAATGAAATTCAGCAGATTAAACTTTATGTCATAAGAAATTCTTTAGACTTTACCGAAGATATAGCTTCCTTTTAATGTAGATAAGAACATTGCTGGTTAATTTTGATAATAAAATATGAAATTTACTGTGGACAGGCTGTTTTTAATTCACATGAACTTCTTTCAAGCAATGAAAATACATACTGGGCACTTGAGATAGGCACTTTCCAATGATTTCAGGATAAACCCACTTGCTATTCAGTTTTTGTTAACTTCTAATAATTTATTCCACTAATGGCATCTACAAGATACAGATTCCTGATATTAGTATAATTCCTCAAAAGAATTCCTTTGCAAAAGTGTAATTTAATATGCTTCCAACATTGGTAGGATTGGTAGAAGTGGCATAAAGAGAAAATGCCTACATTCTTTTCTTTATTTCAAGCTGCTACTGAAGATACTTACCATCATTTTGTTCAATGGCACACATATAAGAAACACTTTTCCCCTCAAGTTTAGCTAAGTGAAACAGCTTGTTTATCATGAGATTTTTATCATTGCCCATTATACTTTCTCTCAAGCTGTATTTATACTTAGCCCTAGTTTTCTAATACAGTTCACTAACTGTTAATTATTATTTCATTCTTATTTAAGGTTTACACTGTATTTATACAAAATTTTGACAAAATACTTTAAATTCATTTCATTATTTGTGGTGGTATAATAAATAATACAAGTATTTGTAATATAAGTCTAAATACTTCATTTTGAAAATTTATTATGAATAGACATTAAAAATAGTCTCATCCTCACAAACCTATTTAAACAATGTGTGTTTGCATACATATAAAATTCTGTGTGGGAAATTCATTAAACGAAATATGGAGTCAATAATTTCAATTTACTTAGACCTTAGTAAAAGGCAATTTCAATCTTTATAAAATCATATTAAATGTTTTAATCTTTGTAGAAAATAATTTGAAAATTATAAAAATCAATCATGAAGGGATAGAAGTGATGATGTAATCCATTCTTTGTATTTATAAATGAGGAAAGTGAAGAGCAGAAAAATTGAGGAAAGTTTTATTTTAGAGATTTATTTATTTATACATACAGAAACTGGAATGTAGGTTAGAGATATGGGGGTTGAGAGGATTTGCCAGAGACAAAGTGGTGATCAGAGCAGCTGGAGAGGCAGGAGAGGTCCGCCTCGCCATGTAAGCAAGCTAGCTCCCTGGCAAGGGATTGAACTCATGACACAGTGACCAGCAATAACCTGACAGCTCTGATACCTCAAACTTTGTGCCACCAGGGAGGCCCATAAAGGTAAGGAAAGTTTTCTAAAGATTATGCAGGCAGTTAATGGCAGAGTTGGCCATCAGCTTGTGATTCTTTATTTCTAGCCCCAGTGTTTGTTTTTACTACATTTATTAAAAATAGAGGAAAAACTGGTAAAAGCCAAATGATAAGCCAATGATAATAGTGGTTATGACTCTTTTTAACTTATTTAGACTTTACAACCAACTTACATTGTTTCTGTTCTATCAAAGGATTAGTTTTAATTTAAATTATATGCAGATAAGGTATATTCTTTCTAATTTTAATCAAAACATGCTTATACAACTCATAAATCTTTGGTTATTTCAAAAGGTGACATTTACTATGTTCCAAATTTCAGTTGTTCAGGATCTGAGCTGTTCTGCAACAATTTTTATTGAATTCATGATAATCTACATTGTATGCAGTTCTTCTAGTGCTTTAATTTGCTGTAGAGGATAAGATATACTTATATATATTTACCACAATTTAATAAAGAGTAGTTTGAATTTAGAATGTTAAAAAAAAAGAATAAAAAAATAAGTATTAGAAAAGAGTGCTGGGAAAAACACAAAATTTTTACACTTGGAGGTCTATTGAGGTGAAATGGTAACCAGTTGTATTTTATTATTCTTTTCTTGTGACTGTAAGAAAAGACTTAAATTACAGAAACTCTTGGAACCCTTTTGAATAAAAGACACTCTTTCACATTATAGATACACACAGAACTAACAAGTTTCAAAAAAGAAATTTGACAAGTAGGAAAATATTTTTTACAGTGAAAATTTGAATTATGGGATCTATTTAAGTCCTCTAAAAGTTTTACTTAAATTCATTAAAATTCCACAAGGTATGTGTGTATAAATTCAAGATACATAATATATTTATACAAACATATCCATACAGGTGCTTGAGTGAGTTGAAGTACTCAGGAGACACTGAGAAGTGCATAACTTACTGAATTTATTACTAATAAAAGCAGAATTGGGTCAGAGAAATCAAATAACATTTGAAAATATGTGTGGAAATGGTAGAAAGTACAAGAGGCCGAGGGTCATGGTCACAGGCAGCAGAACAGTACAGAATAGATTGGTAGATTATTTATGCTAGAACCACGTTCTCTTTGGTAGCCAAGCTCTGGGATTTGGAGTAACATCATTAACAATCAGGGTAGCAGAATATAAGAATTTTTTTTTTCAGCCCTCCCTGGTGGGGCAGCGGGTTAAAGCACAGCACTAAGAAGCTAACGCCATTTCCACATGAGTTCAATCCTTGCCTGCCCCAGAGGTGACCACATGGTGTGGCAGACCTCTCCTGACCAGCCCACTTCTCCCCTCAGCAGTGTGCTTTGTCGATCTGCCTGTTCTGTTGCCCACTCTTTCTCTGGTGAAGCCTCTCACCGCCCCTGAGCCTCTAGCCTGTACCCCAGTTCTGTATGCACAAATAAATAAATCTTAAAAAAAAAAAAAGGATTTTTTTTTTCAACCTTGCAATATGCATTGACACTGTAGGAACCAAACCTTATGGTCAGTTGATTTTTTTATCTCCCCATTAATATAGCCTGCAAGGTGATATATGAAGGATTGTTGATATCCCTATTACACAATTCCTAGAAATTATCTAATGTGTCTGTTCAACTTTATAATCTCATCACTTCCTTACTGTGTGGCACCTAGTAGAAGTTAAATAAATTATCAAGTCCACTGAACCCTAGAAGGATATGGCTAGGCAGTGCCTAAGTGGTCATCAAGCCCAACACTTTTACCACATATTCTTGGGAGCTGAAGGACAAAGTGCAGTGGCTTCAGCTTCACAACTGTATTTAACAAAAGAGCAAGGCCTAGAAAGCAAATTAGGTGATACCAGTCATGCTAACTAAAAGGCTCCAATATTTTGGAAATTATAACTTTAGGGCTATAGGTCATGTCATAGGAAGTAGTTCTAGGACTGTCAGTTAGTGGGGCAGTTCGTTCTTAGGGGGGCTGTGAAAACAGATGAAAAGAGGAGCTTAGTGGTCAGCAGGCCTGGTTGGATGACTGTCCTGGGTGTCGTAAGACCTAGGCTCTCAGAAGGAGAAGAGGGTTCTTTACTATAGATTTTGAGAGTCTGTAACTACGGGAATTAAAGTACAATAAGCCTAAAGAAAGCTTCACTGAAATATTTTCACCTATTCCATAAAATGGAAAACTCATTTGAAAAGTACTTTTGATATAGTTATTTCTAAACCACCATAAAATTTTACCTTTGCCTTTTGCAATGAAGATATTTTCTTTAACATTATACCTTTAAGGATGTCTGCTATTTTCAGATCTAAAAACACATAAAGACTTCAAAACTAAAAATATCGAGTTGTTTATCAACATATCTTTTGGGTTTTTTTTTTAAGATTTATTTATGTTTACAGAACTGGGGTACAGGCCAGAGGTGTAGTGGGTGAGAAGATTCACCAGAGACAGAGTGGGGAGAAGAACAGGCAGAAGTACTGAAATACACTGCTGAGGGGAACAGCGGGAAGTCCAGGAGAGGTCTGCTGTGCCATGTGGGTCAGCAACTTGGCCAGGGATCAAACTCGTACTGCAGTGGCTTCCGACAGCTTCATAATGTGGTGCTTTAACCTGTTGTGCCACCAGAGAAAGTCCCTCTTTTGGGGTTTTAATATACTTAAAATTTATCTGATATCAAACTAGTATTAACTAATAGATGCTAAACATATATCAAAACTACTTCCGCCTTTGTTTTTGTCCACGTTTCAAAACCCTATTACTCTATCTTTTAATTTCTTTAGGAAAAGTGATCAATGGTGTTTACGTGCTCCAAGGTTATCTTGAATTCACACCTGATCCAAAGAACAGTGAAGTAGATCACATAGGAGCAATATGTTTTCATAGTGACATAGTCCTAATGCCAGAGTTATCAACCTTTAGAGTTTTGCCACAGGCTGAGCGAAGTGTAAGAGTGATTTGTGACACATTCACTGTGGCTTGGGGCCCCTATTGACTTCACCAAGGTGCATTGGAAGCAGATAGCTGGCCCAGCTTTCTGCCTTCTCTGTGATTTTTGTGTTTTTGTATGCCCGAAATGATCAATTCAGAAACCGTATCCTTTCATCCATCAACATTACTAAATAATCAGGACCAGCCCTTTCTCCAGGAACCCACTGATGGCTTATTTCACACTAGAGCCAAAGTTGAGAGATTTTTCTCCTCTACCAGGACTGATCAGGTGGAAATCTGTTTTCTGTCTGAGTTTGGCATCCCTTCAGTTTACAATGCATTTACCTTCTGAACAGGTGTCAAAGAAATAGCAAAGAAATATAATGACATTAACCTCTTCTCATTGGGACTGAGTCCTGCACTTCAGTTATTTTGTCTCATAGTCTCTAGGCTATGGTGAAAAGAAAAATATGTTCTGAGGGCCTCCCTGGTGGCCTAGGGATTAAGTCTCAGTGGTAATACCACCACCATGGCTGCTGAGATAATTTGTACCCTGGCCAGGAAGCTGAACCACATGGTACAGCAGACCTCTCCTATCTCATCTGCTGCTCCCCTCAGCAGTGCATTTCAGTAGATCTGCCTGTTCTGCTCCCCACTCTGTCTCTGGTGAATCCACTCACACACACACACACACACACACACACACACATGCATACCCACGTCACTAGCCTACACCCTAGTTCTTCTACACAAAAATAAATAAACCTAAAAAAAAAAGGAAAACACATTCTGCAGAAGTTCTGGAATCGAGGGGCTCACAATCACTGGGTAAAAATTGTTGGTAGGACCCTTGAAACATTCCACTGCTCTCAGCAGCCTGGTGACTCCTGCTGTTAGCTGCTGACAGGGTGATTCTAAGGAGAGTAAAGACTGAAGGTGAGTGTGGGGATACAGCTATAACAGCTGTGCTTTGAATATCAGTGCCCAGATAGAAAATAAAATAGACTCAGCTCCAGCAAAACCTTACCTGGTGCTGGCTGCAGGTGTTGTTGCAGGCTTGGCTCGACTTCAAGGCAGTGATGGTTTCTTGGTCTGTCTAGATGACAGCATTGATGTCTACCACTCAAAGCCTTTGAAACTGGAAGATGCTCTTGTGGCATAGGAAGATGATCAGTGTCTGGGACAGGTTTTCAGAGAAACTTGTATTCGATGTTTTGTTGCCATGAAGAAACACGAGCTGGAAAATGAGGAATCAGATAATGAGAAAAGTAAGTTCTTAGAGCTTTTTATTTAGAATGGGATTATTCTCTCATCCTTTACAGGTGTTATTTCTACTTTAATAGTTGATCTACCAGAAAGGAAAGATTGGAGCTTTGTAATTAACAACAACAGCAACAAAAAGACTACCAATGTTTTCCTTCCTTTTTTTGTCCCCATGGAGTTTGGGCCGGTGATATGGGGCTGCTGAGAGAATTTTTATAACACTTTAAACAAACAATAAAATTGTGGTGAAGCAGTACTATGCAAATTTACCAGGCTTTGTCAGTCATCATTTCTTCTGTGTATGTAGACCTACATATAAACATTAATTTTTTTTAAAGATTTATTTATTTATGGATACAGAACTGGGTACAGGCCAGAGGTGCAGGGATGGTGAGAG